TGTTATTTTGTTTACTGAAAGTCTACATCAAAAGAAAGAAAACAAGAACATATTCCACAGCCCTGAAGTCAACAACTCCCCAGTCCTCAAATCAGCATCTTATTCAGATATACATGTCTGGTTTACAGCATCAATCAGATGTTACCACTGAGTGTTTTGTCCTTTTCTACTGACACCACAGAAGACTGTGCACATTGTTAGAGACAACTGCTTAATTCAACCACAGTTACAGGAAAAGCCACCTACAATTGCAATGCTAAATAGAACTATGATCATAAAAATTGTGCTCTCTCCCACAATAAAGATCAGCCATGACAGAGGTCTTACCATATTAGAATCATAGAATAGTTAGGGTTTGAAAGGGCCTTAAAATCACCTAGTTCCAGCCCCCTGCTATAGTCAGGGACACCTCACACTAAAACATCTCACCCAAGGCTTCGTACCACCCGGCCTTGAACACCGCCAGGGATGGAGCATTCACAGCTTCCTTGGGCAACTTATTCCAGTGCCTCACCACCCTTACAATAAAGAACTTCCTCCTTATATCCAATCTAAACTTCCCCTGTTTAAGTTTTAACCCTTCTCCTATCACTATAGTCCCTAATGAATAGTCCCTACCCAGCATCCTGGGGATGACGCTGAGGAGCAAACATTTTATACATTATTATATTTTTACCTCTCCTGTAAGTAAAGTAAGGTACCACAGTAACAAGTGTCCTTTAAAGGGACTTCAGAAAAAGGGTTTTGGAAGAAAAAAAAAAGCTATAAAATAGGTAGATGGTCTCCAAAAAGACCATCAACAAGAATTTTGCCACACACAGTTGAAATTTATCTTGTGGTTTCCTTGAAAGGAAATGCTTTTCCAGGTCCCGTCTCACACACTTCTACTACACAGGCTAAGACCTACCAGAACTGCTGCTTATCCAGAGCTGAATTTTGCTCATCCTATGCCTGAGACATTACAGTTCTAGAGGGAAAGGCAGACTAACATGAGTTATCAGAGTTGCCTGAAGCTATATGGGGTTTGAAACTGCAACACTCCTATGGCAGGTAGACCAGGAGAAAGAATGCAGGTAAGACTGTGAGAAGAAGGATGACTAATACCCTTCATTGCATGGCTCTGGTGTTTTTCTCAGAGGGCTTTTATTCTCTGTCCACAGCAGAAAATACTCAAAATAGAAATTGCCAGAGACAAGAGAAGGCTTTGAAGAACTGAGTTTATGAGACTGAGGCAGAGAGGAGAAATAGGGCAGGAAGGAGAGAGTGACAGCATATAGAAATGCAACACATAAGGTGGGAAATGTCCACTGGGGGAAAAGAACAAGCTCCAAGGTCATTTTGTTTAATTAAACCAAGCTTCTTAGTCTTAATGGAGATGTATGAGATGCCCATGGACTTTACAGCACAGTAAGAGATTAGCTAATTGACAATTGTATTAGCAAATCATTTGATAATCATCCTACATTTCTGAGACATAATTTGAGCTCAGGTTATCTGCAAAAGTAAATGCCAGGAGCTGACTGCTTTTTTCACTATCTTGTAGCTACCCTTCTTTTGGTGCTAGCCCAGAACATGGAGTTTCTGGTAATTAGAGGGTTTTTTTCTTGCCCTGACTTTCACAGTAGAAGAACCAAACATCTTTTCTGTTTCAGCAGCGTAAAAATGCAAGAAAATGCAAGTTGCACAAAAAATCTATATAAACAAATACCATTTGCTATTCAAATGTCCCAGTGATTCTGTACGACTGTAACATTAAAATCTCAACACATCTTTATTACTTTTGCATAATTCCCAGCTGCTACAATATCCAGCATCATCATTTGGTTTAATTTTACCTTCAGAAACTTCTCAGAGATCTGCTTCACAGGAGTTTGAAAGAATCCAAGACAGTTGTTAGATCAACCCTGCATGCCAGTGTACAAAAACAGTGGAAGAAAGCAGTAGAAGACACAAAGGCTTACCATCTAAGCAAACTGGCAGATATCCAGGCAAAATGAGGCCTGGCTGCAAATGATTTTGTAAGATAGAGTTGCATCAGTTGTATCAGATCAAACTTTTGAGGTCTTATTCTGTGCATTTCAGCAGAGTGGAGTAACGCTATATTTCCCTTGTAATCTAGCTTCCTGAAGCGCCTATGTGACAAGGTTAATGCTATAAAAAGACAGGAAGTGGTTAAAAGCCTTCATTTCACAGCAAGCAGTGTGTTGCAACTGAAATGAACCCACTGTTATTTTCCACAAAATTTTCTGATCTGAAGCAAAGATACATGGGTCTAAAGTTTGTCTCCATTAAGACCTGCCTATATCTCAATTTCCTTACTTTCCTAAGAATCTATTGCTACTGCAAAGAATTTTTTCCTCAATATTGAAGCTGCAATTTTACCATTGCAATAAACTCAGAAAAAAACCTATAAAGAAACTGGTTTTGGCTACCTCAGAACACACTAACTTTATAAACGATATTACAGAGTATCATTAACATAGTCATTTTTTCCCCCAGTATTGAAAAAGCATCCTAGTCTTCAATATTCTTGCTATATTGCTGCTTACAGATCATTGATTTTTTTCCTTTTAATCACAAGATCAATCTTAAGACATCAACACATCAGAAGTCAATGAAATGAAAATAATAAATGAATTTGCAGTTCTTATAAAATGGATTAATGGTTAAAATTTGGGCATTAGATATATACACAATCATATGATAAACTGCTTCCTCCCTGTATGAAGTCAGTGAGCATATTTTGGTATTCAGTAACTTTGGAAACAAAGCCACTTAATTTACAGGGATTTAGGTAATGAACTTTAGATGAAAAACTTCAGCTGCAAACCCCTTTCTCAATAAAGCAGTAAATGCTTCACTTTAAACATGTTTAAAGTAAGCTTGAATGAATAAAATTTAACACAGAGAACAAGTACCTAGGGATTAGACTTCATTACGCATATCCAGAATCCCTAATAAATAGAATTAGTCCAATCCTAAACCAAAGATACTGGCTTTAGTACCACAGTCCCTTAAAAATAATTTAGAGTAATATAAATTCAGTAGTTATTGAAGATTTATTTCAGATTTAATTGAGAGGTAAGGTGCAGCGCTAATAAAAGTAAAAATCCTGAGACACAAACAGTGTGGAAATGCTCAGAGTGAGCTTCTGCAAAGCCTTCAGTAAGACCCTCTGCAGTGGTTTCCACCTGCCCCCATGCATCCCTGCCTCATTTCCCTGGTCCCAGAGAGAGGAAGACTCCACATGAGAGCTATAAGGACACAGGGAGCAGTATCCTTTTCTAATGTAATTGTGTTTGTCACGCTCCCTGCCTAAAAGTTTGACACTGCAATCCCCACTTTTCCAGAGAGAAGGGGAAAAGGTCAGTCATTCAGTACCCCCATCCTGTAGATAAAGTACACCCTAAATCATAAAATATAATTGATAAAGGACAATACATGGTAGGGAACATAAAGGCATTCATCATTTATAGGTGACAGCTTAACTGAAGGTAATGATGCAGATGTCCCCTGAGGTACCATAAATCTTATTTCTCAGACACTTTTGCTTTTACTTTGGTAATGTTAACTTATTCTTTTATCTAAAACAAATTCCTTAGTACGTTACTAATTGATAATAGTGTTTTTTAACAACTACAGGCATTGTATAAGAAAGGTGAATTAATGTTGCCTCAGGATTATTAACAATTGGCATCCTGCTATTAAAGCAGTAGCCTGAAGATTTATATGTGCAATATTAGCTGACAGATGAAAGAATTGCTTTCTTGAAATGCTGAAACGTATGAATATATTAATTTGAAGTAAGACTTTACTCATTCAGTTCTTTGGAAATTTCTGTATTACATTATTGACCTTTCAGCTTGATCAGTTCTCAGTCACAAATGAGAGTAAAGTCCAACTCCCTACTCTCTTAACCAGTAGCCAAAGAGATATCAACTCATACCTACACAGAATGTACATTTCCAGATGACAGATAGCACTGATGTCAATCCCAGCACAAAGCCATGTGGACTGCACAGAAATCTTTTTATAAGATCTTTCCCATTGACTTCATGCAGTACTGATTGCAAGGTTTACTTCACTCTTTGCCAGCTAAAAATAGTAAGAATCAAATCAGTATTTACTACAAACTTGCAAGGATTGTCACAGTTTTAGAAGATCAAACGCCTTTCCTGAGTGCCAGCATACCAAAGACAAACTTTCTTCTAAAGCTTTTTAACATAAAGCTGGGAGTAGTTGAATGGAAATACTCATACTGCTCTATGCAGATGTGAAAGCCAGCTTTAATTGTAGGTCCTAACTTGGGAAATCTGGAATTTGTAAGCATCCCTTATTTTTACTTCCAATCCCATTTTACACCCAGAATGTATAAATGTGCAATTCAGGTAGGATCATGTCTGTTCTTACAAATATGTTCATCTTTGGAGGCAACACTCTTTATGTGGGGATATTATTTATACCTGAAGTACTTTGAATCAGACACAGTTTACTAGAATTCTTGGTATTTGCAGAAACTTTACCTTTTCCTTTGGTTTTTGATTCTGAAAAATGCTAAAAAATGTGCAAGGAGCACACAGTTCTTTAGCAGCATGGCAGGGACCCAGCAGCACTGTGAGACCTTCTTGTCTCCATGCACCTGCTTTCATGGAACTGATTATTTATCAGAGGGATTTTTTTTCCACTTAAGCTGCAGCTCTTTCTTAACTGTGTCAGACTGTATGCAAATGTGGCCATGAAAAATGGCAGATGCACAGGGAGCCCCTTTCTGATGAGGCAAAGCAGCTGCATGCCTGGTTAGAAACTCCCTTTTATGGCTAGAGACACCATCACCTGTGAAGCACCTGCTTGTGAAACATGCCAGGGGAAAGGCATGAGCTCAGAGGGGTTTAGCATAAGCTGGTGAGCCTGCTATAGTGGAGAAGCCCCTTTCCCAACTGCAGAGTTGTCCTCTGTAAAGTGAGAAAGAAAAAAGTTAATAAAGTAGAGCAGACCTTGCAGGAGGATGTGTAGCCTTGCAGTCCAGCAATCAGTGCTTTCTCCATGAAGAGGGAATCCTAAGTCTTGATTCCAGCTCCAACACTGATCAGGGATTGTGTGAAAGAACATAAATGAATTGTGGAGCCCCAGGATCTTCCCTTATTCCCTCTCCTAAGGGATATGAAAGCGTGCATCAGAGCACTCAGCCCTTGTACTTCACAGACCAAGGGAGGGTTCCCTTGGGGAGAAATTACATCTTTACACCAATTTGAACATTGATTTCTTCTTCCAACTCTTCAGCTACACTAACTGTCACATTTGGGTCTTCCCTCTGCTGTGCTGGAAGACAAGCCTTCAAATCTTTTTCTTTAACCTTAATTTCAGTTCTTCGTTATCAACATTTGTCAGCCAGAACATTCTTCTCTATTCCACCAGCCAGTGTAGGATGCATATCCCCACTCAGAGAGCCTGGGGGACTTATTCTGCATACATGATTTGGTTATAAAATAAATCTGAGTATTATTTGTTACTGAGGGACTTATTCAATAGAACCATTTAAAAATGTAGCTGCTGTTATTTCTAATGACTGTTGTTTCCTAATAAGAAGCGTTGACCTATGTACATCTTAAAAGCTTTTGTCATCCTTTTACTAACTCAGTTTCAGTATTAAGAACTACCCCTCTGGTATTACAATGGGCCCAACCAGTGTGACAGGTTCTCTGCAGGTTCATGGAACTTGTAATTCTCATTCCTTTTCCTGTGTTTACTCAAGTCACACTTTCCCTGCTCCTTGGGGCACCCAAGGTGTTTGCAGCTTTTTGAGTCATTAGTAAATAATGGTAGTGATTTCTGGAGAGTTACATCTTGCTACCCACTGCCACTGTGCTGGCCTGAAGATCTGGGAATGGAAGAGTTAACCTGACTGATTGCATGTCCTTGGTGATCCAGCCTCAGAGATCATGAGACACCTACATGGTATTTGGCTGTTCTTGCTCTGCTTCATTCCACTTTCAAACTTGGAGGAACTGAAAATCTCAAAACAAAATTATCCATTTTACTTTAAAACCACAGACAGATTCTGATGAACACACAAAGCAAAATTGAAGCTCAGAGCTAGCATTCTTGCTGTTTGGGGATGGCCAGCATGCAGGGTGCAATATTTTTTGTTCTGATGCCTTTTCCTAGATTAGTGTATGTCACCATCCCAGATGCACACATGGCACAGTGAGAACACCCTGGCAGTTCTAGATTCATGTTTTACATCCTTAGCCCATGGGTTTTAATGATTTCCTGTACAAAAACTGACATAAATCCACCCCCTTCTGGCAGTAATACTTCTCATGCTTTCATGAAGATAATGCTGGCTGTTGGCACTGAAAGTGAAGCAGATGCATAAACATAGATTTAGGGAGCTAGCTGACACAGGCTTCTATATAATTCTGGCCACATTGCTTAAAGTGTTTCCGGATGAAGATTTATATATAAAACTTTAGAGGCTTATTATTGCTATTGTTAAAGAAACAAGACTGTTGTTTTGCCTGCTCTGCTACACAAATCTGATTTAATAGGCTACACAGTAGAATATATGATCACACCTGTTTAACTGAAACAAGATTCTTCCCATGTTATATGTTGAAAATATGCTGCACTGTAAAGATAGCAGAATAAAAATGTCTGAAAATGGTGCTGTTACATTTTGTGAGTTGTTTTAAATAGCTGTTTTTATTTCTGGCTGTTGTAAATGTCTATCGTTGTCTACAATAACTACTATGATTCATTATCTTCCATAGGTTTGACACAGGAATTGTTTGGTCAAGATGGCTGTCATTCAATTAACTCCTAAAATGAATTAAGATTCATGTAAACAAACCAAAACACACACACAAAAAAGCGCTACCTCACCTGTTTTATGGATAAGAAAAAATAGGGAAAAAATGTGAAATATAAAGAGTGAGAGCTAAGAACCATGTCAACCATCCTTCAACTTAACCCATGACTTTTCTACTTGGCATGAATAGCTGAGATTTGAAAGCATTTGAAAGCACATAAGACTGAATGTTTCAAAAAACTTTGACAAAAGGGAATGGCTCAGACACCATCTGCAATTCTGGAAGGCCCGGACCAAAGAACTATTTTGGCCTCATCCAGAGCAGGCAGTTTCACTTACAGGTTTTCAAACTATCTATCTGGACTGCCCTGCAGATCGTGAGGATCCGATGTCACTCTCCTTTTCCACCATCAGATAAGACCATGGAAATCACACAGAATTTTTTTTACAGATAACCTTTTCCAACCCAGGTGGTAAAGAATGCAAACAAAATAAAAGGAGAAATTAATACAGGGGACATTCAGACACCAAATGATTACAGAATTGCAGTGAACTTATCTCAAAATCTCTTGTATCAGTTAACAGGAAGAACATTTTGTGTACATGCTGTGGGCTGCATTTTGAACATAAAATAGCTGGAAGAAAAGGAGTAACAAGCAAATTAAAAGGTTAGTGGTTCTCTCTAAAAACTCAAAAAGAAAGGCAGTCCTGTTTTCAGCATAAAGTTGTTAGTGGTAACAGTTGTCAAGTCAGAATGTACATTTTTGTCCTCAACACTGTTATTTTTATTATTAATCTCATGCTATGTATGTCAACCTTATTACTTCTGAAGCAAATATATGTGACAGAAGAGTATTAGTATGGGGAAAGTGACAATAATTTTTTTCTTTAAAGAATTGTTGCTCTCTTCCAAGCTGATCTCTGGTTATTCCTTGAAAAAGAAACTGGTGTTGATTACTTTCCAGTGCAAAAAACAGAAGTACCTTACAGCACATTTAGCTCAAAGCAGATTGATTTTGCATATGCACATCATCTACCATAATGACCTTCATTTTTAATGTCACACAATGTACATATATGTATTTCAAAATTCTTCATTCCTACATGGTTCTGTAATATGCTATACTTATGCACTAAAAAGTACTAGCAGGCACAGCTAATAAAGCAAATGTGCTGTACTGATTCTTAGTAACTGAAATATTCTCTGTATCTGAAAAACTAGAATACAAATATTCATATAGAGATCAAGCCTACAGAGCAATACATTTTCAACAAAAGCCAATAGCACATTAACAACAGATATATTAATCTGGTATAAAACCGAAGACTGCCTGGATACTGCTCACCGTTAGTAAGTATTATCCATTTGGATGTCCTCAGAAACAGCAACATTCAAGAAGCATCCAGACTTTTACAACTGGCATTATTCTTGTGTTTGAATAAACATTTCCTTTTCTAACCACAGTCCATTCATTTATTTGCTTGTGTTCTTATTTCCTTTGGAATCTCTAACTGTTATGGAAAAATCCACAGCCAAAGGGAGGCATGAGGAAAAAATGACAAAGTTTCCACATAGAGTTCTGTCACTGGTATGGCATGCTGCAAACCTATGGATCTCCCTAGATCCACCACTGTCAGCAGTATCAGTACTATCTGCAGTATTTCTAGCATGCTGATCATTATCTCAGCACTAAAGAAAACATTTTTAAAGGAGTCATGTAGAGTCAAAATCAGCTCTAGTATCAGCTTCTTTGCAGTAGAGCCCTAGACTTCAGAGTTTTTTTCTCTTTCTTTCCTAAATCCTTTTATTCCAGTTTTCACTTAAAGTCTTTGCTAATTAGATTATGGGGGAAAGAAATTGAATTTGCCATTAGCTCTGGAAAAAGACAGTCTAGTATTTGTCCAAACCTCCCTGGCACAGATGCACTAGAAAGCCCTTCTTGGGAGTTCCTTAGGCTAATGCTGGGTTGGGAAGTTTCTTCTCAAGGGAATTCACCTCATCCCATCACATTTTATAAACTCATCTCAAATAGTTGCAAAGAGTAAATGTGTTTTGAAATGGTAATAATAATGTGGACTTTTTATCTACTTGTATATATGTGTTTGTGTGTTTTCTCATAGGAAGAAATAACTACTTTCTCTAGCTTTCTCAAAACAATCTTCATCTTTTTCCCATGCATCACATCCTAAAAACAGCACAATGTGCTGAACAATTACCTCACTCAGAAAAGTTCTCAAGAAGATAATAGAAATGGTTTTAATGCAATTTGGCTTCCCAAAGGATATTTCTACATGGAAAGATACTTTCTGAGGCAAGCTGGCCTTGAAACAAGATGCATCAGAAGCATCTAGAAAAGATGCTACTCCCTAGACTGAGCTCCATTATGCTCTCTCCCACTCCTTACATGTGGAAGTTGCAGCATCATTGTCCAAGCAAATATTTTTTTTACAAATCTTCACTATTGTTTCAGCACAATATTGTTTTACAGTAAAATGCAAGACAACAAGACTCCTTGCAAATCTCTTGTGGAAGTTTTAGTCTTGATACCAGCTGTTATTGTTGTTTCAAAGACTGTGACTGTCATAACATACTGAAAACAGTAGCACTGTTAAGAAAATTCTTATTACGATACCCAGTGCGATCTTCATAGTTTGAAGATCAAAACTGAAGCAGAAGGACAGATGCCTAAATCTGAGTCATCTCAGAATTGTGTTAAGGATATATATGTCAAAGTAATTGTACGTTACTATGCTTTAGCACTTGTGTAGATCTCCCAGAAGGATGTTACCTATTTCCTTTTATTTTTTTTGGTGAATAGACTCTGGTGAAAAAGACATGAAGGTTATATCTCCACTGTAATGTGAAGGACAAGAGGCTGGTCACACACAGAAAGAGGTATTTGCTAGAGCAGAAAAATTCTCCCAATTGAAAAGGAAAGTCTCACATGTCCAGTTAGAGTGTTTTTTCATAGACTCAGTGTTAAGGAGAGAGTATTCCTCCAAGCCCTGCTGGCAGCAGAGGAGAAGGCAGTGATGCATCATTCTGCAGAAGTGGACTTTCTCATTTCCTAGGTTCCTGTCGTCATTTTTACCTAACAGACCTTTGCTCTTGAAAGACTGGAACACTGGCTTGGCAGTTATCTTTCCTGCTCTCCTCCTTTGGCAAATTGCTTTGCTGTGAGTTTTGGAGGTTAGTATTAAAGGTCTTGACTTGTTAAAAGGCTTCAGAAAATGTTTTCTGAATAATGGACTGTAGAAGACTGTGACGCACAAGAAACTTTACTAATGTCTGTGTGCAAGGCACAGACTCTTCTGCTACTGGGGCCTCTTCCAGTTTGATGTTACTATTCCAGATGGGACACTCTGTTAAACAAAGGCTTGTTCTTGTCTGCACTAAATGCTGACTAGTGTTGATATCTTGTTAGTGGAAAGCTAGATTTGCAATTATAGGCCTTTCAGCTATCTAGACAAGTTCCTAGCAGCTGGAGGAGGCAGAAGTATGCTCTGAGATTTGCTGTCCCTAGAAGATGGCACACTTCAGAAAATGGCATACTTTCTCTGAAGGAAACACCAATGACTTTGATCTCCAATTTGTGTATCCTTTCTCAACCATGATGAAAAGAAATCTGAGACATCATTTGTGCCCTTTGATCCCAAATTATCCTTTTTATTTACTACTTATGACTACCTGGAATATTCTCTGCCTTGCTCTGCAAAGAACAATTTATGCAGTCAATAGAAAGACCTGTTGTTCAGGAGCTAGTGATAGTGTTTCCTGCAACTGCTACAGCAAAATGCTATGTTCTACCCACAAAAGTTTTATTACTAGTAAGACAAAAGTACAACAGTCCAATGAAACAGACAGTTCAAGTGCAACCAGTTTTAAAGGAAAGCACATAAACCAGGAAATCTGGGATTTTTATAAGGTTAAGCTGTAAAAGAATTTAGTAGGAAGACATATCAAAGCTTAAAGGTATAAAACATGAACATGCCCATGAATTCCAGGATAGACTTTGATCTCAGATTACATCATTAGTATGTTTGTCATTGAATGCCTTTTTTAAAAAAAAAGCAGCTTTGCTGCTGCTATCACTGCCATTATTTTTGGCAATGGTACACTGATGCAATGACTGTTTTTTTGTTGGTTTTTTTTTTTTTATTTCTAAATAAAGTAACAGTTAACTAGGCCTTTGGACTTGGAAATCTTAAAGAACTTTCTAAATGTCAGTTAATATCATACTCATAAAGCTGGGTAATTCTGAGTGTTGGGCAAGTGATGGAAGAAGAGGAACGAATTTTCATTTAGATTCTCCTATGCTACATTCCCTTGCACCTATTCCACATTAACTCTTATTTGCCACCCATATTAAGATGAGCAGAAGAGAGACAAGTGATTGGAATCTACACCCAGGGTGATTCACTGCTTCTTGCCACATGAAAAGAGAAGCATGCACAAAGGAAAAAGAAATAAGGTTTTCAACCTGTAACATTTCAAAGCTGTTGTTAAAAAATGCAAGCACCCAGCTTTTAGCTGTTTGTCTGAAAGCTTAGTTCAGCACACTAAAGCAAAAATCTGGATTATAAACAACTCTGTGAAGAGTTCTTCACATAAGAACATTGGAAATCCCTTTTTGCCCCACAAAAAAAAAAAATAGGATCTTTTAAATTAAATTCACAGGCTACAGCAGTTCTGGACAGCTTAGAAAGTCAACTTCCTTTGCTTGAATTATAAACAGTATTTCTGGTAGATGACTTGAGGAAGCAATGCTTATGTCAGAAGTACAGGAACAGCGAGACATCCACAAACGAGTATTGAATGGTATGTTCAAAAGCCTGGTTTTTAAACAAGGTCATGTGCAAAGCACTTTAGGACATGTGTCTGTCTTAAAATTTTGAAGTCAAAGTTATCACTTTGCTTAAGATTCTTGTGAGATCTTCATGAAGGTAAATAATTTCAAAACTATTAGCACTTTTCCTCCCCAGCATTGCATTTAACTTTGCTATAAAGCATTTCTGTTAGGATACCTAAAATGGAAGCTGTTCTGAGGGCTCTCTTATATCAAACCCTAGAAAAGAAATCAGAAAACTGTGTCTAAATTATAGATCTTTCCTCAATGAAATGTGGACATATCCATCTATATGCATGTTTAGAGATACCCTCAAAATTAATTTAGCTTATTCATGTATTTGAAAGACCAAACTATCAGCAAAGGATACTTAATTTGCAAGGCCTGCTTTTATAAAAAAATCCTGTTTGGTGACAAGAAAACAACATGTTAAATGAATACTTTCAAAGCATCCTTGGACAGTTGAGAGCTGGCAGAGTTCATCAAGTTTCAGGTGTGACGAATACATGTTAAAGATCTGACATCTTGCAGCTCAGAATCAGTGTCAGAAACTTCCACAGATCTTCTTATGTCAGCTTACCTCTGGGTCAACTTATGAT